TCAATACAATTATTATTACTATAATATAATATTATTTTCGAACCTTATTCTAGTTCCCCAGGATTGAAAATAACCTATGTCTTTTTGTAATAAACTTGTGAAAGTATCCGACACTTTCTCGTAACTGTTTCTGACCGATCTCCCTTATCATTCGGTCAGACATTTCAACTACAGTGTATAAGTAGAGTTATTAGGTCAGACATCAACTTCTGTTTTCTACAGTTTGCAAAAACCTTATAGTTATTTTATGCACGTACAAGCAGATGTTTGGACTACGCAAAATAGAACGTTACTGAATACTTTTCTAAGACTGTTTTAGTAAGTAATATTGCTATTATATAATATAAATTTTAAAAATTTAAATTTTATTTAGTTACTCTAGAATTGGAAATGACCTACTGCTTGCTGAGTCAAACTAGTGATAGTATCCGACACCTTCTTTGTAACACTATCGAGTTAATCTTATAGCCTGTTTCTAACAGGTCTCGTATTGAATTTAGTCAATTTGTTAATTATAACTACAATGTATAAGTAGAATCATTAGGAAAGACTTCAGTTTCAAAAGAACTCAAAGTTAGTTGACGAGTTGACGTACGTGAAAGCAGAAGGTTAGAATAAACAAATTAGCACGTCACTGAATTATATTCTAATACTGCTTTAGAGAGTATTATTGCTATAATATAAGATTAATTTTAAACCTTATTCTGTTATCTCAGAATTAGAAATAACTTATGACTTTTTGGGTGCAACTTGTGAGAGTATCCGATACTTTCTCGTAACATCATTAAGTTAATATAATCTCCTGTTTCTGACCGGTATCCTCCATCATTTAGTCAGAAAATAATATTAATTTTGGACCTTATTGGGAATCTTATAATTACTCATTTGTGTCTAAAGTAAGTCTCACAGTGTCTTTTTTATCATCGAGCTCTATCGTCGCTGATGAAACAATAAATTGGCAGCAGATCCGAAAACGTAATATTTTGTCAAGTGCCTGCGCAAACAAAGCAGCAGTCCTGTCGAAGGATTATGTATGGCCGTCACGGCCTAAGGGAACGGGGAGGGAAACAGTAGACGAAAAGAGGTCTCTCTAGTCACGTGGGCCCGACCCGCAGTTCTCTCGCCCTAAAAGCAAGAGAGTGTGAAATTGAAAATCTCCGAAAGCTTTTATTTCGACTATTTATTCTTGGCAACTTTTCAGAATAATTGCATTTAAATGCGACTTAATTTATAAGAAGTCCAACCTACCTGCTTCGAATTTAAAGGAGCGGATTTATTTAGCATATTAACTCCAAATTAATCTGCTAAAAATGCGGTTTAGGCTGAATTTTTACAATATTGAAGAAATTTGGATTAAACTAACCAATACTATGGATTTGCTGTATGGAGAAAAACTGCATCTATGAGAAAAATAATTCTCCAATCATTAAGAAAAATTTCGATATGTTACATTAACATTAAAATGTTATCAGCTTAAATTGTTTTATTTTATCTATCTTGTTAGTTCACATGAATGTGCAACCCCGCTAACAAATATTTATGGCGTGGCTGTGGGAAAGTAAATTGTTATACAATAATCTAGTTTTCTTTTTAATTTTCTTTATAATCTAACAAAAAATAGATAACTCTAATCAGAAATATAACTTTGATTTGAAACAACTAACACAAATTAGAACTTGTACAATCTTGAGTTTCCCTTTGCAAAACCTGCTAATTTGTGACATCTAATATTTGGTTTGTCTATATATGTAATATTATCGCTGTATCGATGTTTGTAAGCAGAAAATGAGAAACACCCCTTTTCCGCTTCATGTTTTTCTATATCATTTGTCCATGTCATTGTTTTTACTATTGAGTTGACAGCATCAGTTTTATTTTGAAATTATTATGAAAATATTTTAAATGTTTTAACAAATCTTTTATTTAAGTCTTATTTAGCACGAACAATTTATCGAATGATTTTATGCTTTATGCTTTACCCTTTTCTAACAACATGTACTTCAATTATCAGTAATGGTGCTTGAAAAGGTATGAAATCTGATATAAAATAATAAAATTTTATTCTGAAAAAAAAGTTATGTTTTGTTTCTTAATGCGATAGAGTAAGAAAATTTAAATTTCCAATGGTTATATCGTAAAATCAGAAGAAGTAATAGTCTCGAATAAATTCCGCCATTCTACTTATTACAGGTAATTTCAATTACATGATTCTAATTATAGAGATTGGTAGTTCATTTGTATATTAGTCGTTCTAAAATGAAGTAGATAAAAACTTATATAGAAGTGAGAATGATACGAAAATAGAAAAATTGTAATAAATAATATTTAAAAAATTATACTATTTACAATACTATTTATACTAAACTTAAAATTATACTAAACTCAATTTTGGTGGCCATATTCCAGATAGTCAGATAAACTGTAATCGTAGGAGTGTGGAAAAATAATAAGGGGCAATGTTTTCTAGCATTCTTTCACAAAGAGGTTTATTCAAATTTACAATCTCTTGTAGTTTTTTTTTCAACAGATCTCTCTGAAATTGCTTCTTATAAGCCAGTAAATGATTTCATATTTTTTCCAAGAAGACGTGCATATTTTTTCTGATTTTCTTGTGTTGTGGCATTATCACATTTGAATGAATAAAATTTTCAAAATATATGCAACGCAAATCAAATATGCGTTTTTATTTTATGAAAAATTGTGAACATTCATTAATTAAACCGCTTCTTCAGAAATTCCATAATTTTTTACTTATATCACAGACCTATTTATATAAATTTAAATGAAAAAAAAATCGTAATAAAATTTTGTATTCATAAATAGCAAAGTATAGCATAGCAAATTGCATAACATAAAATCTAAACTATAAAAATCTTACAGTGACAAAATATTATTTGCCATTACAAAAAAATACATAATACAATTAATAATTCATCAATACAATTATACATTCAGATAATATCAATTTGCACACCATACAATTCGTAAACTAACAAACTATTTTTTCCAGTTATAAAAACAATTGATAACTAAATATTTTTCAAAATTTCCCAATAGTCTTTTATCTGCAAACATATGTTAAAAAGTGGAAAACTTCACTAAACATGTACAGCAGTTATCGGACAGTATTTTAGTTGTGAAAATAAGTGTGTTTCTAATTTATACAAATCCAGTTCTCTTTCAAAATTACTTGAATTTTCTAAAAAAAGCTTCTGCAATATTTTTTAAAATTTTGAATTTTCAATTACCGATAAACGTTCTTACAATAGCAGCCTCAACAATACCTGAAACATTCTTGCAATTTACCTCAAATTGATGTACTAAAGCCACTGAATGTGTCAAAGAAACAGATGTAGCCTACAATTTCGTGACAGCTATAGGTACACAAAGAATTTGCTTCTATAGATATTAAATTTTCTTTCACTGGCTTAGAAAAAGGAGTTTTTGCACTTATTAGATTGGCAAAAAAAATGATTGGTCGTTTAGATTTTAGATAACTTTTTTAACTCATTCTAAATTCTCAGCATAAAATATAGCTGCAGCTAATCAAGTTCTCCAACCAGGTAATTCTAGATGTGGTGGTAGTTAAGTGTTTGAACCGACACAGACACTTTACAAAACAAGGTACATAAGAACGTTTGATTCTAAAAATTCATTATAAAATTATATCACTGACTTAACAAAGAACGTTTTGCTTTTACTGGGAATACCCTATAGTGGGGGTTTATCCTAGGTAATTCTATGAATCTGTTCTTATATAACTAAGTAGTAAAGTATCCGAGTCGGCCCCATGGAAATGTAATTATCTAATAAACACATGTCGTGTCGAAAAGGTCCGGACAGGGCCTTTATTTGTCAATAAAATTCAATAAATTCTCTATTATTGGAAAAAATGCATATTGTGTACAAAACAGGCAAAAAATTCAAAAACTACAAAAACATGCATTTTGTGTTTTCCCATCTCCTATCTATGACTGTAAAAGGACCAGGAAGAAAAATATTTTCAAGAACATCCCGTATTCGTGTCTTCACTATGTGATTGAAATGCCACCACGGACAAATTCATTTTAGCTAACCAACATGAGTAAATGTTACGTTTTACCATCCATAACTAACCACAACTAACTGCTCTAAAATATCTATTTACTTATTTATTTATCAACGGGCCAACCGCCCAGTATAAAATAGATCTTGGTTATTACCTCTTTTTTGATTCGTTAAAGGACGTTTTGATTTTATATTCAATAGTGACTGAAAGCAATGGTAAACAACAAGGAGGTTACCTTAAGAAAACCCTGATATTCTGTCGTTCGGTAATGATTGTATCACCAGCGTAAGGAAGGTTGTTGACTGGATGACCATCGATTGTACACCGTGATCTGTATCATGAAATAGCTTTACAATGTATATTAAACAACATGGGCAATAGGACATCATCATTTTTTTCTATCGAAAAAGTTTGCGTGGTTTCATTTCCTACTCTCATGTTTGGTTAAGGTATGAAATGAAATGAAGATCATAAGAGTCTTAAGAAAACCCTTACATTATTAGAAATGAATTGAAGAATATATTGCGAAAAAGTAAATGTCCTTTATTTAATAACGAAACGAATGTAATTGTGTTGTATTATTTATTCAAGTTTTGTATCTGCAAAGTCAATCTCGCAGGGAACTAATAAGCATATCCGAATTCATTGTTTGTCTAACGTTCAAACGGAACTTTCTAATTCGACATCTTATTCGGAAGGAAGTTGCTGCGTAGCTACACAAGAATGTTTAGTATTTGTTGTGTAGCTCCGGGGCGGTAAACTAACTCCGACGTAATTTATATTCGGGAAGTTTTCGACCCGTTAACCGTATATCAGAAATTTCAAAACCGTAAACTTAGGTCCTGCGTAAATACGTTAACGGGTCGTACACCCGCTTTAAATAAAAAAAAAATAAGTCCGTCCAAAATCCGATTCGCCGAATCTAACGTCTGCTTCTCGTTTTTGTCACCAGGGCGGCGCAAAAACTGAACCTTTCTTCGTCGCCACATCGCAGGAGGCGATATAATTCAGACGAAGCTGACAGCGGCGGTTTTTGCGGCGTACTTCAGAGATCGCCGCCTCCCGTCCCTCCCGCCCTTTTGCGTCGGATAGGCGTGAAAGAAGTCACAGGTGTCGGAAAGGTAAGTCTGTCTGTTTACATAAAATTTATAGGTAAATACGAAAACAGATTCTGATATGGCTAATTCAGTGCTAAGCGTTACTTAAAATTTCTAAAATTTTAAAATTGAACTTTTTTTTATACATATTATTAATCTGTTTTACTGTAAAAATAAAGGCCAGAAAGGAAACAAATTTCAAATTCTCCGTTCTACGGTGCTGACCTAAAATAAATTTGAGTTGTAAAATCACTAATTCATCAACTCCATGTTTGTAAACAGTACTCAAATAACGTACAGCGAATTTCATAAAAAATTAGTACGCATGTTTGTTCCTTGTGGATATCGAATGGTTCAGTTTAACTGTTTCGTAAACTGTGCTATTCAAAGGGATAAGGGCCGCGTATTCTATTGCAGTGCCATTGCGTGAGCCACTTCATAACTAGATAAACAGAAACTAGAAAAGTGTAGCCATCTCTTAAGCTGAAATGTATTTATTAGTATATTATGCAACAAGTGCGGTAAACGGCATTGGACTCACGAGTTTATTTGACACGAACGGAGCGACTGTTTAATAAACGAGTGACTTAAAAAGTTTACCGAACATGTTGCATACTATACTTTTTCTACGACCGTTAGTTTTTGGGTACATTTTCGCAAAACACGAATACATTCACTGACATGACCATCAGAATTGACAAACGTCAAAATTCATAGCGTGTGAAATATCTCCGAAAACATCCGATTGCTCCCAAATCCGTGCGGTAAAATCCCGGAAATGTCCGAAGTGGATCGAATTCATGGGAAACGAGATTGACGTGGTAAAGTGACGCTTCCCGCACGCTAGATCGGTGGTTAATTAGGTGTTTTACAGACGGGAGTAGAAAAATAGAATTTTTCTACTCCCGTCCGTCTGCTCCTATGTGCAGCCATTTTAGGCTTTTCTTTATTTTCAAACTTATTTGTGACAATTCTGACATATTTTTTTTATTTGACAGTGAAAGTATGAGAAATATGAAAACAGGGAAGTTTGCATGACGACATAGTGGCACTGCTCAACACTATGAAAAAAAAGTACTTTAAGATAATTTTTTTATGAAAAAAGCTGTACATTTATTGCGACAGAAAAAAATTAAGAGTTTATATATAAACTTTAGAAATGGTACGGTACTGATATTTAGCTAATACTTTGGTAAGTTCTCTCTGAATGACAAATTATGTTCTATAAAAATATAATGAAGTATGTTCATGATCATATAATTAATAAAAATACTTCATTATTAGATTATTAATTAATCGTTAGGGAGAATAAATAATACAAAACATCAACAATCACAGTTAAAACAAAATTGTCTTTTGTATCGAGAAAGGAAAAAGAAGGGATTAAAAATATGGTCCAATGAAATAAAAGAAGCAGTATGAAAAAAGAAAAACATACATATATCATCTTAAAATCCCGACTGAAGGTAAACCAGGAAAAAGATTGAACTATAATAAATTTAAAAGAACTGAGAGGAGCCTTCAAGGCTACAAAAACAAAAAAGCGACTGATATAAATGTTATCAATACTGAACTCAGTTACACTTAGCACTTTGACATTTATTTCAAAAATGTTGGAAAAGCTGCACTACCCCTGATGAATGTAAAAAATAATCTCGTTCCAAAAAGGTGATAAAACTAACAGAAGGACTATCGAACCCATCGACAATGTAAGCAGACACAAGTGATTGAATATTATGAAACAACGGTGGTATCCAACACTTAATAAAAGTTTCACAAAATATACACATTGCCAGCAAAATTGCAATTGATATGGCTTATAGTTAAATGGAGAAATACCAAGTAACAAGTTAGTTAAATAAGGCTGCTCTATTTAACCAAAATTATGGAACATGAAATTTATTATAGGAGAGTTGTTTTGTTTTTCCCTGGGCTGTCAAACTTTCTTATTTTATGTAGAGAGGTTATGTTTGTATTCCATTAAGGGATTGTTCTTAAAATTCTTTTTCTTGGAATATACAATACACCCATATTCCACTATTTCTAAAAATGAAAATGCACTAGAATTTAATTTACGAACGATATAATTAATGATTTTAACGGATCTGCAAAACGCAAATTGCAATAAAAAACTATTGAAAAATTTATTAAAATTAGTACTATTGTTCAGGACTTGTTTTATTAAATTAAATTAAATGAATTAAACTATGTCTTAAGCGGCCTCTAAATTCCCGTACGGTGTTTTGGAGATCTGATTCTGCTCTTATCCGGTGTTGCATCTGGTTCTGTACACTTTAGTTTTGAGGTGACCTCAATAAAAAGTCTAGGGGATTTAAATCTGATGAACGAAACGGCTACTCGATTTTCCCTCTTCAACCGATCAACCGATTTGGAAACATTGCATTCAAGTACTCTTTTATATGTGTGTTTAATGGGGAGGTGCCCCATTTCGTTGAAACCATATACGGTTATCAAGCATCCCGATTCCACCATTTCTAATGTTCTGTGCTATAATGAAGCTAATTAAGGGATAACTTGCGTTCTTGAAAGGGTATACTATTTTTCACCGATTGGAATGCCATTGTTAAAGTCCCTAGAGTATCTGCACCAATCATTCCAACCCATACATTCGGCTTTTGGGGATATTAGGTACAATGTTCCATCATCTATTGGGGATTTTCGTTTGACCAATATCAGCAATTGTGTCGATTAACGCAGCCATTCAAACAAAAAGTCGCATCGTTTTGAGAAATTTGGATTTTAAATCGATTCACAATTCCTTAGAATTTTAAGAGTGATCAAAAATGGAATTAAAGCATACCACATCTATTTAAAATGCTAAAGTTTGCAACCTTTGGGAAAAAATAAAAAATGAAACTTCCTGAGATATATGATGCATCTTTTGACCAACCCTGCATAGAGGGATGCCATTGGGACAAAGTGGAAAACGAAGTAACCTAAAGGTTTTGACCAAAACACCACCCTGAACACTATTTTGTATGCGGATGACTTATTACTCTTAGCGGCAATAGAAGACTTACGTACAGAAATGTATGGTCTCCAATTAATCTGTCAAAATGACGACATAAAAATATCAACAAGCACAGTATGGCTTTCTCAGGTAAATATCATATATTGGAACAAATAAAGCACTTAAACATGACACAACTTTAATAATAAAATAAAGGAAAATAAAAGAAAGTGGAAGGAGGATACCAGTCAAATACAGATTTCATCAATGCGATAAAAAAAGAGATATCGGAAAGCCGGAAATATAGGTGTCGTAATTAAAATGCCCAAAAATCTGAAGTGAAGAAGAAGTTATGGTTACTAAAACCTTAATCAAGGCTGGTGTTTCCATGAGAGCTGCTACGAAACAGCGGATCCATGGATATAAAAAACCCAACACCCAACTTTGTGAGACACGCTGATTTGAAAACGACAATATATTCTTTTTCCATATTTAGCGTTCTGGCTAAAAAGATTGTGTCAATAGAAGAGTGACTGTTGTGGTGTGTCAAATGGTTACAAAACGTTTTACCGAGGAATCTAAAAATTTCTATGAGTTTGTGGTTGGCACTCCTCAAGGACCGCCTTTGGTTATACAATGATGATAACACAATAAACAAAACACGTATCGATAGGAGGAATTTTATTTTACCACGCCGCAGGCACTCGAGTCTAATTCAATATGACATTAAATGGGATCCTAATTTGAGAGACCCCTATCAATCACGACGGAAAGCACGGGAAGTTGCCCGTAGGCATTGACAGTTCCCTACACTTCCTTGGAGACCGGGCGACGTAACCCCAATCAGGCTCAATTATCATACTCGCCGCAAAGTGTGAGGGGGAGGATTTCTATTTTGGTGGGTGTCGGCAGGAAAACTTTATCGCCTCGCCGGTTTGATTGCAGAAACGCATAAATCAGGTGGAACTTGGGGGAGGTTAGCAGGTACTGATTCGAAACGTTTGCTCCTTCGCGTTTGTCAGATGAAACGGATCTTTGAATGAAATCGTGAAGAAATTAAGATCAGAAAAAAATAGTTCGAAAGGTTAGTCATACGCTTCAGTTTTCACAAATATAAGCCTAAACCTACGCATTAAATGAGGTTTGTTTGAACTTTAAAACCTCAAAAAATTCGAATCATGTGGTTCTATAGGCGCATATTACGGATACCCATACATATAGAATTACCAATGATGAAGTTCTGAAACGCATTGGACATCGACGGACGCCTAAAACAATTATGAAGATCGCTTATACAGCACAGATTTTTGCTACACTTCATAATGCAGAAAACAATCGATGCAAGGTTGGGTATTCGACAGGAAGAAAAAATAGGTACCAATTACATCCGCCGTCCAGCGTTAAAAAATTAATGAAAAGCGTAAGCCTAAAGCTTTGTCTCTGCTCTGGTTAAGATGGCCAATATTCCTTTAAGAACCGTCGCTCTGCGTATTACACGAGAAAAGCCGGCCGAGCATCATAAAGTCTCTTACTTCTTACTCTCTAATCCTCTTAAATGTTAAGTCTCATCGATTGACTGGTTCTTCCATTCAACTCTACAATTTGTTTGCTCATAAAAATTATAAGGCGGAACGATCCTCGCCTTGCATTGTTGTTAAGCACGTTATTTGTGCGGAACCGGTTAAAAAATGTTCTCATTTCTCCTTAATTGAAGTCCCTTCCTCGTCCTAAAGAAGCCAATTATATAAGTCGGAAATACGCAGCAAGAGGATGAGGACACATCACCAAAATATATACCCAATTTTAACATTTCTTGATTTAATTCGATATTCTACTTTAAAATTTATAACCCTAAAATTTGAAATTTCATGTCATCTTGCACTTTAAAATTTCGAGTTTTATCTCGAAATCTTTTTTTTTGTTTTAACTCTAAGTTTTACTTTAAAATTTGATGGTTTATATCGAAATTAAGGGGTTTAACTCGAAATGTTAAAATTTTGTTGTAACCTAAAATTTCCTTAAAATTTCGAGTATTCATTTGAAATTACCTTGT